TTATTCCATTCTGTCAAGAAATTTATTTACTTTATGTATATAAAGATAAAACAGAGACGATCAGAATGTGCCCGGAAATTTCATTTTGTTTAGTTCTTTTTTCGTAACAGATTTAATGTTTAGTATAGAGCTTATAAAAAATTCGCAGAGTGAGATAGGCAAGAAGTAAGGCATGTAGCAACACCAGCACGGAAAAGGGCACTCCTTTAAAGGCAAGGAAGGGCAAAAATATTTTAAGTCAAGTAATAGAGATTGCTGTATGAGTCGTACGATTTTTGAATCAAGCACGCGCAATGCCGGGCCATGCTGCTAGTATATTATAAAAACTTATATTATTCAGGCATTGGGAATGACATCAATGTTAACGAAGAACTATTGTAATATGCAGAAGCACAAATAGAAGTTTAGAGTATATATCGAACAAATTTGTGTTTAAATATAGTTTGCTAACGCTACTGAAATCTTGTGTACAGCAAGCCCACCTCGAAATGTATTGTCTTTCTAACGTAATTCTTGTGACTTCACATGCAGTATCTATTCTGGTACTCAATACATCTATGCAACAACAGTACTACAAGATATTCAATTAAATAATAATAATAATAATAATAATAATAATAATGTCTCCCAATCGACGTGGATTTCTGGCTTTAGGTCCCTGGGTTAGACTCGGATGGAAATGTATATACAACAGGAATCAAAGGAAATAATAATAATAATAATAATAATAACAATAATAATAATAATATTAATAATAATAATTGTATCAGGTTGTACGGTGTTGGCACCCACTGAATATAAAACCCGGCATGACAGAGTGGGCCAATATTTGCACTGGAAAATCTGCAACTTCTACGGGAAGAAAACGGAAAGAAACTGGTATGAACACCACCCAGACCCGGTTACGGAGATAGGACCTGTTACAATTCTATGGGATTACACAATACACACTGACAGAACAATCAAGGCCAACCGGCCAGATATTGTTATTAAAGACCACAAACAAAAACGGTGCCTTCTTATTGATATGGCAGTCCCTACTGACTGCAATGTATCTTTGAAGATATTCAAAATGTTGTCAAAGTACAAGGACCTTGAAATAGAAATCTCGAAAATGTGGCATATGGGAACATCAACAATCCCTGTTGTAGTTGGAGACCTAGGACTGGTTGGAAAAGATTGCAGTAGACTAATTGAAGGGATTCCTGGAAGTCCATGCGTCAAGGAGATACAAAAAATTGTTCTAACAAGTACAGCCCACACCTTACGAAGGGCTTTATCTATGTAATTTTTTTTTTTTTTTTGTCAGTTGAAAGTGCCATGACGCTATTTCTAACCTTAGGTCCCTGGGCGGGACCCGGAAAGAAATGTGTAAACGCCAGAAATCAAAGAAAAAAAAAAAATAATAATAATGCCTCCTAATGGACGTGTCTGTTCCTAGTAAATATAAATATTAAAATTGAAGAAGCAGGAAAGGTAAAAAAAAAAAAAAAATACACCGATATCCGCATAGAAATCAGACCGCTTATACTTGGATCGTTTAAACCAAACCCATTTAGAACTTTGAAATAAAGTCTAGCATTTCATCGCTGGAGTAATGGATAGCGGCTCGGATTGAGGAATCGGAGAGCCGAGTTCGAATTTCAGTCAAATCCATTACATTCACTTATGTGCTAAAACCCTTCGGAAAAGTATGAACCCTCTTCTCCTCCCCTGCTATGGGCAAATAGCGGGACAGACCGTTTTCGTTAGACTTGGACGACAACTGGTCTCCTGCAAAAAGACATGGCAACCTAATGCGGGAAAAATCTGCCTCGTCAGTTATGTATCGAATGATACATGATCGCCTAAGCATGTATCATGCAAGGCACATAACTGCCTTATTGATTCCATCGTTAACTGCTAATAAAATTGCGAAAGGTATGAATCCATATTTTCTCTCTCCCAGCTATTGGTAAATAGAAGAAAATCTAGTGTGACAATGTCTAGAAGAAGGACAATTCTGAATTTAAAATAGTGTATGGATCGCAATTGACTCACACTATATTTCTGGTCTTCATCCTGTCGGTCAAGAGCTTGGAGAGGGAATGGGAGACTCCAAGCTATTTGAAAGCCAACTGAAAACATCCGAAGAAGAATTATCAAAATTTCTTGTTCTGTCACCAGCACCCCGACCCGGACGACAGGAGGAGTCAAGGGGTAAAAAATTCCATCACTTCAGAAAAATATTGCCACTGCAAATAATCTTTTAAATATGCTTCCTGCATGAGGTCGTCGGAATTAAGAGAAAAGCACCCATAATGCAAGATGTTCGGTTGAAAACGAAAATCTGTGCAAGAGAAATAATAATAATAATAATGTTGGAAGGAAACCTGGAAAAAATTGGTATGACCCATCACTCAGACCGGTTACAGAGATAGTACCAGTAAGAATATTATGGGACTTTAAATATACACTGGCAGAAGAGTCAAATCTAATCTCCTAGACATCGTGGTCAAAGACCACAGGTACAGAATATGCCATCTTATTGACATGGCAGTCTCTGCAGATTGTAATTTATCTTTCAAGTTCTTCAAAAAATTGTCAAAATACAAGGATCTTGAAATGGAAATCTCAAAAATGTGGCACATGAGGACATCATTAATTCCAATTGTAGTTGGAGTTCTCGCATTGATTGGAAAATGTTTCAATAGACTCATTGAACTGATTCCTTGTAGCCCATACCTTAAAGAAATACAGAAACTTGCACTCACACATACAGCTGACATATTACGAAGAGCTTTATCTATGTAAAATGTGGGTGATCTTTGTTTTTTTTTTTGTTGTTTTTTTCAATGATCAGTGGAAGCTATCATGAAGACATTTCTGGCTTTAGGTCCCTGGGTTAGACTCAAAGGGAAATGTATATACAACAGGAATCAAAGGAAATAATAATAATAATAATAAGAAGAAGAAGAAGAAGAAGAAGAAGAAGAAGAAGAAGAAAAGAAGATGATGAAGAGGAAGGAAAAATATTGACGTAACTTTTCTAATATTTTCCAAAAGTTAAAAGAAGAGCCCGATTTAAAAAAAAAGCAAAAAAAAATTAAAAATAAACCCTGTTTGGCAATGTTAATCCTGCTACTACTCATAATAATAATAATTTCTACTTCATACATATTGACATCTCGTTTTATGAAAACTTATAAGCAAAAGAGTTTGAACAATTTTCAAAATATATAGACATGGAAATAGACATTGTAAATATGTAGCAGATAAATACATTCACTATTCCAGTAATATATTTCATTGAATGTGACAGACAAGGAAAATCATATAAGTTTCTATTTAGTTTGTCTAATGTTATTACAGTTTTCTTTCTGGAATGTCAAAGGGAGTGCAGAAACTGTCCGTAATGATTATTGTTCCAAGTGCTTTCGGCCAAAGCATTAATCATTTCAATGGCTCCGTCTTTCAGTGTGTGTGCTCTATGGTGTATTGTGTTGAAGTAGTAGTAATCTTAAGCTACGCAAGAGGATGCGACTATGACTTTATGTTGGGCTGTCTTCTTAACATTTTTAATGAAGTAGGGTTATATAGAATAATGACGTTACCAACTAGATTTTTGATAATGGGCACAGGCTATGGTTGACAAAATGCTTTTCCTAGTCCTGATATAATTTATGGTGCTTTCTCATCCTTCGGGTTATGGCTGTAGTCATGAGCCCTTTTGTGATGTTAACGAACACTCGTTGCCACTTTTGTGATGTCAACGAATACTCGTTGTCATTTTCGTAATGCTCCTTGTAGTAGAGATTTTGTAATTGATGATACAAATATAGTAACGCCGTTGAACAATACTGGTGTCAGACGCCTTCGAATAACATGAACCTGCTCCTTAATACTTGATCGAAAAGTAACCACCGTATGGTGATCCGAATAATAATCCGTATAGTGATCAGTATAGAGAAATATTATAGTGAATAGTATAGAGAATTGCGATGCGTAGAGTTATAGAGGATAGTGTAGAAATAGTGATCAATTAGAAGCCACGCTAATTATCATATATACATTCCCTTTACCATCATGTGATCTACTTAATCAAAATGATATCGCCTGTGTTTGCTCCTTGGGGATCTGTGTTCAAACTACTGTGACGCCACCAAAATTTGATTCCTATATAACAAGCCCAATCTACATTTTTTGTTTATGACAAGAGACTCAGACTTGTACTGGGCAGTTGATTTAATATAATACATGTTATATTCATATACAAATCTCCACCATATAAATAGCAGTTGATACAGCTGGGGGCTTAACGAAACTTAACCTTCTAGACGAAGGTACTAGAGAAAGAGTAACAAATTATAATTTACAGAATTACATTTGTTGTTTTTCTTTTCTATTTTATAGGCGTGTCGATATTTGTAATTATAAAGTTGGCAGTTTTTAATTTTTTTATTGTATTGTAAGTTTTATATATTTTATTACATATTTTATTTATAACTTAGCAGTCATTTACTGTTTTTGTGTGGTTTCCCGTTGCCTTCTCCAAGGTGATTTATTGAGACACCACCTCTAGTTAGCTAACCATTGACTCGGTAAGTGTTCATCCGTTCTTTGGTGGTTTTTTCCCCTCCGAGTTTCTAATACCCGTTTAACTCGCAAGAATTTGGAATGAGCCAACTGGTTTAGTCGCTGACCCAACGAACGACAGTAGCATACATACTTATTCAAACGCATCCTGATATATATATATATATATATATATATATATATATATATATATATATATATATATATATATATAACCCAAAGAGCCAAGGGTAGGCTTGCTCTGCTTAGTGTATTGAGCACTTTAGGTAGTTATTTTTACTCGTTTTGGAGTTTTTTTTTTTTGGACTCTGGGTTTGAATTCTGGACGATTGTTTTCGCCTCAATTTCATGTTCTTAGTTCTTTCTTTTTTTATTCCTCATTTTCCTTGGAGATTGGTTTGTTCAATCCAAAGCCGAAACACCTA